CGACGGAATCCTGCTCCAGTAGAGTGGACGGATGAATGATGGGATCATCACAGGCAGTATCTTGAGTATGTGGAAACACAAGTGGTGAAACTGCAGCAGAAGATGAAAAAGGGAACACATGTTCATGGAAAATAACATCACGGGAGATAAAGATTTTACCCGTGTGAAGGTCGTAAACTCGATATCCCTTTGTGCCATATGGATACCCAAGAAAAAGACACCGTGTGGCTCTTGCATCAAATTTTGTGGGACGATGGTGGTGGGTGGAAGAAAAACATAAGCAACCAAACACTCGCAAATGTGCATACGCTGGCTGTTTGTGGTGAAGTATTTCATAGGGTGATTTGCCTTGAAGAAGAGGAGTGGGAGTCCTATTTATGAGATAAGTGGCAGTGAGGATTGCGTCACCCCAAAATTTCTTAGGAAGATGGGATTGAAAAAGTAAGGCTCTAGCAACATTGAGTAAGTGGCGGTGTTTGAGCTCTGCTACCCCGTTTTGTTGGGGAGTAGAGACACAACTTGTTTGATGGAGAATCCCCTTATCTGAAAAAAATTGGGTCATAAAAAATTCTAGACCGTTATCACTACGAAGAACCTTGACTCGTGTGGAAAATTGTGTTTCAACAAGGTGGATGAAAGTGATGAGATAAGATCGTGCATCTGATTTGTGATTCATTAAATAAACCCATGTGTGCATCTTGAGAAATCATCCACAATAGTTAAAGAAATATTGTGCCCCTGTGATAGTGGGAACATGGTAACCTCCCCAAATGTCAACATGAATTAACTCAAAAGGAGCCTTTGTGGTGATAGAACTCAAAGGAAAAGGAGCACGTGTTTGTTTGGCTAAGGGACAGATCAAACAATCATCAATGCTACAAAAATTCAAATTTTTAATGCAAGTAGAGAGATGCCGTAAGGTCGTGTTGGAAAGATGGCCAAGGCGTTGATGCCAAAGCTGAGAAGAAGAAGAGGCAACAATTGACGCTGAATTGCACCTGGTTTTCATCACATTATCAAGGTAGTAGAGTCCTTCTCGTTCAGTTCCCGTCCCAATCATCTTCCCCGATCGTTGGCCCTGAAGTAGACACATTTTATCAGTGAAGATGACAAAGCAAGAGGAGGTATTAGTGAGTTTGCTGACAGAAATTAAATTCAGTTTAAATGATGGAACACAAAGCACGTTGTGAAGGATGAGATCATTCGAGAGATGAACTGTGCCAATGTGTGTGACATCGGCAAGTGCATGATTGGGTAAGTGCACTTGTCGATTGTATACCGGAACACTTATGGTCATTAAGCTTGGTGAGCAGACCATGTGGTCTGTGGCGCCTGTATCGAAAATCCAGTTTCTTCCCTTATTGAGAGCAGAAGCACAAAAAACTCTATCTGACAAATTATTCATAGTAGAGGTGGTACCGACATGATTAGATGTGGGTTGGATTGACTCTTATCAAAGGAGTGCAAGCAGGTTGTGATATTGCTCGGAAGTGAGTGCCATGGTTGTGTTTGCTGAAGAGTCAGTTGCCATGTCGGCAGCAGTTGTGTGGCTGGCAGTGCTTGCGGTGCTCTAATGGCTGTGCTCAGTGGCAGTGCTATGCGGCGCTGGCTGCTTAATGGCTAGCAGGTAGAGACAACGGCGATGGCTAAGTAGTAGCTTGGCAAGGCAGAGTAGCAGTATGCAGCTTGCAGCAGTGAGTGCAGTGAGGTGTAGCTTGCAAGCTTGAGCGAGTGTGCTGCAGTGTGCAGCGAGTGCAGCTTTGCAGCTAGCTGCAGCACAGGTTGTGGCTGTACACAGTATAGCAGCGGAAGAGTGAAGGCAGAGCAGAGCAAAGGATTATCTGTGCGCTGATACCATATTAAGTTTAATATTTGGTAGTATCATTAACTGCTGCAATTGCAGTTTGTTTTATATACATCTTACACACACGCATGCATTTAAACAAATGCATGCAATAAACAAATGTGGTAAAGGTGGCATGCTTGCTGCCCATGCTGCAACACATCAGAGCACAGGAGTCGAAACCATGTGGTAGTCTGCTGACAAGGAATATTGTACCCACGTGCAGTATTCCTTCTATCCAGGTTAGTGGGACAAGTTCTCTCAACAGCTTCAATCACATTATCTTGCATTCAAAACATGGCACCCAGGATTTGGGTCCAGTAGACCTCGGACCCCAAGGACACGGTCAAGTCGGACCAGGAATTCGGTTTAGGAATTACGATTGTTAGGACGGGAACGCCGATTTCCTCAAATTTTGATGAATAGGACCAACTCTGACATTTCAGGACCAAATTGAATATAACCGATTTTTAGAACGTGGACGTGAATTTCCCAAACTCAAGATTCAACCCGAAAAACTCGGATGAATGAGACCGGCTCCGACGCTTCAGGACCAAATTGAGGGAGCCCGCGACCGCGACCTGTGGCCCATCTACATCAAAAGTGATACTGATGGTCATTTAGTTGGACGTCATTAGGGGAGAAAAGAAGAACAAAGGTGAAAGCATGATTTAAATTTTTTTATGGGATTAATACAGCTTGTTGAGTGGGACACAAGAAAGAGATTAATTGGCAACATATATATATATATATATGTGTGTGTGTGTGTACTCACATATTGTATCATATAAAATCTTGAGTAGGCCTTGAGTTACAGTTATCTTTATCAGGCATTTGTCTATCTAAAAGATAACCTAAATATATTGTGACCCAACAAATAAGTTACATGTATCGGGTCCTCATCAAAAGAAACTTAAATGAAACGGATTTTCTGTCACGTGACATCCAGATTTAATAATGCATTGTCATGTGAAAAAAAAACTTGCATATGACAATGCATTACTGGACAAGGAACGTCAAGTGACGGTAAACCCGTTATATGTAAGTAATTCTCCTTCATCAAAGATAACAATGATAAGATGATAACAAATGAAATTGTTTTAGCTGTTTTGCCTTTGAAAATTGATATATACATTGAGAGTTATATACAGTTTGTTGTAAAATTTGGCCTTGTCCCCTGTTTTCTTATACAACTACATTTTATATCCAGGGGAGGGGTGGACAGCTAAGGTAGACCACACAATGGGTCAGTTACTAACTAGATATCCAAATGGATACAAAATAATATGCCAACGGCCCATCATCATTTATATGAGTTGAATCTGAAACTTCTCACTTATAAGTGAAAATAATTACTTTAGTACTAGTTAATTGTCTTGTCTCTTATTAAAGATGTTTTTAAGAGTTACATTGCCTTTTTTTTTGTTCGAAAATTAAGAGTCACAATGCTGATGCCAAAAAATTTGCCTTGCCACTAAAATACCAAATCATTTTTAATTTTTAGGAACTAATACCAAAAGCCATCTCAATCAAATCCCACAATTTTTGGGCTAAATATTAGTAAGAGTCCAGCTAATACCAGTTCACTTAGCATTGTTGTCAAGCAAAATTGCAGAGATTATTATTAATTAATCATTTGAGTTCGCAAAGCAACGGAGAAAGCAAAGAACCAACTGAGTCTTGGCACAAACAAGGCATATATTCAATTTCACATATTGTGGTCGGTTCAAATAGATAGTGGCAGATTTAGAATTATAATTTCGGCGGATCCTAGTGTAAAATAATTTATTTATTTATTTATTTTTACCAAAAATAGTGCGTTATTTTATTATTATTATTTTCTAATTCAATTAGATATTTCATCAAACATTTAATGTGTTTGTCATCCTATGTTGAGCCATGTAGCACTGCATGCTGACAAATGTTGACATTTGCCGAGTGTTTTCAAGACCCCCTTGCTGCATGATGTTGACACATCCAACCGAGGGCTGTTGACGCGTCTTATCTGAGTGCTATCTAGACATATAAAATACCTATCTCACCAAACACTTAGTGAATACTAAAAAGTCCCGTATGGACCGTACTAGACATTCGAAGAGTCCCTAGAGGTGGAGGACATTCTAGCTTTTTTTCTCATCCTCCAAAATGTCATGTAACGACCATCCCTCTCTATGTATATCTATCTCTAAATATATACAAAATCTCAATTCTAACTATATTTCTAAACTTAATTATACAAGCTTTACTTTCATACATCTTCTTTGACACTTCTTAAACTAATAAATTCATTCATAAAGATGCCTTAATTGTATACGGAAACCCACCTTTGTATTATCAACTGTAAGATTAGAGATGCATAATCATTATACGCATCATCTCTCCATTAAATAAGACTTATAATATTGGTTTATCACCCCTCTTTTTTCTTTTTATTATAAAAAAAAAAACACTTTTTCTAATTGTTTAATATGTAGTTGAGCTTGGAATAAAATATGAAACGAGAATTACTTATAGCTTTTTTTTTTATTTTTAAATTTTTTTTTAACAAAAATATTATCTACATTAAAAGTGGGGGTGGAGGTGTGGGCTAAATTTCATAATGGGCTGGTAATAATGTAATTTAAATTCGCCTTTGGTGTGAATCAAACCTAAGAATTTTCACTTATAAGTGAAGATGAACAACACTAGACGTAGTACTAAATGATTAAACAATTTTAATCAATTTTAAATTTAATTAACTTTATTTTTTGTGAATATAATTCTCAAAACGTCAATTAAGAAAATAAATTGTTACCAAATTAGGTTCGAATCTCGTAGATGTCGAATTTGATACCAAATTAGGCTGCTTATTATGTAATTTAGCTTAACTCTCTATTTTTTTAATATAAAAATATCGATACACACAAATTACTAAAAAAATAAAATAAAAAGTACTAAAAAAAATTATAAAAATCTATCGTATAACATTGCAAAATGATAATGAGCATCAACGGAAGGTCCAAAAATGAAAATGGTCATAGCATTTTGTATTTACAAATTGCAATGCGTTACATGATAAAAATTGGTAAAAGAAAAATCGCACTCCAATTACCGCTTTAGGAATCACTTTCCCCAAACACGAAGCCATGCCGACATCCACCACTCTTCCTCGGTCCCCCGATTCCGAATTTCTGACACCCCAGAAAACCCCAGATCCAATGCACCCCAATCCACCCTCTCCCTCACGTGTCAATCGTACGTTCCCCTCCCTTTCTCACGTGCCTCCCCATCACCGCCTCTCTTATGAGATTCCCTCCTGCAGCAAGAGCAAGAGAAAAAGCAAAAGCGGAAAGGGAAACAAATTCCCACTCGGTTTTGTGACACCAAATGCATGTTCCACCCGCCACTCGCAACCCCCGATCCGAACTCGATTAGGGTTTTCCGCATTTCGCATCGGCGCAGATCCGTGGAGCTTCGGCGAGAAGCTTCCATCGACGAGTTCTCTGAATTCTCGACGGGGTTCTAGAAGTTCAGGTTCTGCAAGTTTTCTTCAGCGATGGAGTCGATATTGGCTCGGGCGCTGGAGTACACTCTCAAGTACTGGTTGAAATCCTTCTCCAGAGACCAGTTCAAGTTGCAGGGACGGACAGTTCAGCTTTCTAATTTGGGTAAATTTCAGGGATTTATTTGCTTTAGTTTTGATTTGGTCGATTCGTTGTAGTTAGAGTTTCATTGATTTGTTTTTGGATTTGGCAGATATCAATGGCGATGCTTTGCACGCGAGCATGGGATTGCCACCGGCACTGAATGTAGCCACGGCCAAAGTTGGAAAATTGGAGATAGTGGTTGGTGACTGTTAATTCTGCATTCTTTAATCGTGTGTATTCGATATAATTCAATTGGTTTTGATTGATGTTGTGTCGAATCGGAAATCGGAAGTTAAATGGATTAGAAAAGGAAATGAGAAGTTAAAATGTGTTGCCTTTTTGTGCATGGTCTCTTAATTACAGTAATCTCAAATTTAGTTGAGTGTATCGTTGCACAAGATGTGATGCTCTGGTGAGAGGTTAGGGTAGATGTATATTCCAGATGGTTTTCTTTATATGCATTTTTCTCAATTCATTTTTCAGATATGAGTTAAGTAAATGACTCTTCTTTGTGTGATTTGATAGCTCCCATCTGTGAGTAATGTGCAATTAGAGCCGATTGTTGTGCAAATTGATAGGCTTGATTTGGTTTTGGAGGAGAAGTCAGATTTGGATGAGAGGAGCCCAAGAAGGTAAAAAGCCCAACTGCATATATTGCTTTATTTTACAGATTGAAACAAGTTTTGTAGTGCAGTCATGGATTTACTGAGCAAATAAATTCTTGCATGCAGTTCCCCATCATCCTCTAGCTCAGCAAAGGGTAGCGGTTATGGATTTGCTGATAAGGTGAGGTTCAGTCAGTACAGTTATGTGTTTTCTATACAGAATGCAAATAATCTTGTCATTCTTTCTGACTAATGGAACTTGGAATCTCAGAAAGAATAAAAAAAATTAGCTAAGACTGGTAAAGGGAGAGATTGTTGCCCAATGCACTAGAGCTTTATATTGTATCTTGAATTCTTGGTGCGGAATGGCGATTATAGCTTGTTAACAAGATGAAATTTGTCAAGTTACAATATAAAGCTCCAGTCTTATTTAGTGTGTCTACCTAATTATCACCGAAGTATGGCAGATTGTATGTGTTTGGTTAGGTTCCGACCTTTCATTCATTCAATTCCTCCCTTGCTCTCATGCTTTTTGTAAACTTTCATTCCAACATTTCATCTATTTTACGTTCTTTGTTGTTCTGTGAACTAGAATTTCTGGTCCTCTGCTCTTGTATTTTTGCACAATTTTAATTGTTCAATAAATTTTGTTTCTTAAAAAAAAAAGTTCACCTCATACTGACTTTTTCAATGATATCATTAGTAGCTCAAATCAGTTGAGAATCCAGACCTGTAAAGTTTTATGCAAGCTTCCTTACTGACAAGTGTCTTCTTTGGTTTTCTTGAGCATGCATAGAGATTTGAACATTTATTCTGGAAGTTACGTTATTGATCTTTTAAAAAACTATCAGATTGCTGATGGAATGACTTTGGAGATTCTCACAGTTAATCTTCTACTTGAGACTCGTGGGGGTGGTCGAAGCCAAGGAGGCGCTAGTTGGTAATTTCCAAAGGCCCAGTTCTCTAGTTATATCTTTTCGTACACGAATATGGCCAGAAATGCTCTTATCCGCAATGAACTGGCCTTTGAAGAATACTTGATAACTATTGTAGGTTTTATAACCTTAGATTGAAGTTAAATATAGATATATCTGGCGGAAATTCTTCAATATGTGAAGTCATATTTACCATGTGCAATCATGATGTTCCTATTTATGGATCCCTTTTGTGGGAATTTAGTTTATGATTAAGAACTTTTGGGCTCCAAACAAGGAATTGAGTTTATACCAATCAACAAGTAGATCTTTTACCGCTTGAAATGACATAGTTCTAACTTATCATATGGGCCTGTAATATTTGCTAAAATGATCTTTTTGTTGACATAGGAGGACAGAGTAGGAATTAGCCTGTTGTGATCACTCATATGGTAATCATGGTTTGTGAGGATTTAAATGTTTAAGTTCTGGGTCTGTAAGAGGAGGAAGTATACTTTAGGAAAATAACAGAAAGGTAGTAGATATTGATGTCCAAAAGTAGCAGGAAGTCGAAGGTTTTGCTTGCTGGAGGTTTTTTTATTTTTTGGGGGGGGGGGGTGGGTTTATATCTTAAAGATTCAGGACGATAGTTTAGAATATTTAGATAAAAAAGTGCAGGACTGACAAGTTCAGGCTTTTTGGCAAAAACAGTATGGGACAGACAGACTCTAGGATTTCTTTGACATTTGAAATATGAAGTTGTATAGGTTAGTGCATATGCTCATTCTTCTCTCATTTTTTTATTTGTCCCACAGGGCATCACCTCTGGCCTCTATAACTATACACAACCTTTTGCTGTATACTACCAATGAAAATTGGCAGGTAATGTGTTAGTTGCTCTGGTCATACAAACATTTTTTTACCAGGTCTGTAACTTCACCGGCTTATTTGAACTAAATGTCCTGTTACAGGTTGTAAATCTTAAGGAGGCACGGGAATTCTCCAGCGACAAAAATTTCATATATTTGTTCAAAGTAATATGCTAATCTTTGTGCATCAGATCACTATTGTGTGTTCCATATTGTTCTGTCTAGCAGTGTTAGACTTCTCAATTTTGAATTAGTATTAAATGATGTTGAATTCTTTCTTACCAGAAACTTGAGTGGGAATCTCTGTCTATTGATCTCCTTCCCCACCCTGATATGTTCATGGATGCTGACATAGCACGTACTGAAGATGGAAGAAACCAGAGAGACGATGATGGTGCAAAGCGAGTTTTCTTTGGTGGGGAGCGCTTTATAGAAGGAATTTCAGGACAAGCTTATGTAATGCAGTTCTAAACTTTTTAGTTAATTATTGATGGATTTATTTTTACTCCATATATCAGTGTGAATCTAGAGAGTGTCCAGTGTTTTCTGTGTTTCTGTGCTTTTTTTTTCATGGAATCTTTCTTCACTTTGTGACTATGACCAGATCACAGTGCAAAGGACCGAATTAAACAGTCCACTTGGACTTGAGGTTCAGTTACATATCACAGAGGCCATTTGTCCTGCTATAAGTGAACCAGGTAACAAGTGAATTATATTTGATCACCTGTTTCACTGGTTCTATAATTATAATAAGACATTGTATACATATAGCTTGGTGCTAATATGTAATCATGTGGCACAGGACTACGTGCTCTTCTCCGCTTTATGACAGGATTGTATGTCTGTCTGAATAGAGGAGATGTTGATTCAAATACTCAGCAGGTATGCTGTTGGCTTTACTTCATTCTCAATCTATTTTTTGGCTAACATTTTATGATTCTCTTGCTGTTCTCTCTCTCTCTCTCTCTACATCTCTCATGGAATTTTTTGCAGCGATCCACAGAAGCAGCAGGACGTTCTATAGTCTCAATTGTTGTGGACCACATATTTCTCTGCATTAAAGATGCTGGTTTGTGATTTTCCTTTACAAATGTTATAGCGACTTAATACTTGTGTACATTGAAAAGACAGGATGTATTTTATGCAACCCAATTTATTGACAAAGAAAAATGGGCCAGGGAACCCAATTTGTTGGTATCTACAAGGTTGCATGTTACATTCATTCAAATTATTTCTTTTGTTATTTTTGTTTTTTAAATTGAAGCATTCTTAGAAGTGTTGGATTTACTTGCAGAGTTCAAGCTCGAACTTTTAATGCAATCACTCTTCTTCTCACGGGTACTGTCCCATGACTCTTACATATGTGATTAAACTTTTCTTTATCATCATCTCAGTCTTCGATCAAACTAATACGTATTTGACTCTTGGGTTTACATGTTACTGAAATGAGATTTCAGTTTAGAGTGCTTATGATCCAAGGAGGGTCCTGTAAGAAAAATATATTATACTTCCCAAATTTGTCACAATCAAAATTAAAAATATTTGGCATTTGAAATCTGTGCAATTTATTTCTATTTGACTCAATTAGGAGTCCAGAATCTTATATGGGGATCCACTTTTCCAGGCCAGTGTTTCAGATGGAGAAATTGACAACAACTTGTCGAGGGTTATGATTGGTGGACTGTTTTTAAGGTAAATATTGTTAATTTAGGATATTGCAAGACTTTTGGTGGTGGTAAGTACGTTTTCCCATCATTCTCCTGGAGCTCAGTTGGTCTTTGACTAGCTTTAGGGTGTTGTTTCTGCATTTGTGCATTTCTATTCCTGATTTCTTAGGTAGAAGTTCACATATAACTCTAACAATTGACAAGGATTATGTGTTAACCATAGATTGTTTGTTCATACCTGCATTGTATCTGCAGTGATTTTGTGACTAGACCTATTGCATTTCTATTTTTTGTCGAAGCCACGATGAATTATGGATGTAGTTATTAAAGATAAGTATGATTTTGTACATAGCTCCATGTGGGAGAAATGCCTTCCCCTTTCAATTCGATATATGTTCAGTTCTATGGCTAAGTTATAATTTATGTTGGTGGCTGGAATGTAGGGATACCTATTCACGGCCTCCATGCACTTTGGTTCAACCATCAATGCATGCAGTTTCTGAAGAACCTCTGCATGTTCCTGACTTCGGTACGGGATAAATTTATTTATGTAGACTAGAGAAAACGAAATTTAACCCAGTGGCCGTGTGCTGGATGTTGGGTATCTGTAGTTTGAAATTATTCTCTTATCAGTTTTGTATTATTGTTTGGACAGGTAAGAATTTTTGCCCTCCCATATATCCTTTGGGAGATCAGGAGTGGCAATTCATTAAAGGTGTCCCTTTTTTGTGCCTCCACTCTCTTCAGATCAAGCCATCCCCAGTCCCTCCATCTTTTGCTTCACAAACAGTAATTAATTGTCAACCCTTAATGGTATGTGTTGACATCTTTTATTTGTTCCATCTTTTATATGTTTTCCTTTCTGAATCTTTAAGTATCATTTTTCATTTTTTTCCCGTTTGTTTTTGGTTTAAATTCTAGATTGATCTCCAAGAAGGATCCTGTTTGAGGATCGCTTCCTTCCTGGCTGATGGAATTGTGGTCAATCCTGGTGCTGTTGTACCAGATTCCTCAGTAAATTCCTTGATTTTCACCCTCAAGGAGTTAGATGTGACTGTTCCTTTGGACATAGATAAGTTGTGTGACACTGCTAACAACAGGGACAATATCTACCAGAGTGCCTTTTCTGGAGCAAGGCTTCATATCAAGAACTTGTTAATTTCAGAGTCACCATCACTAAAACTAAGGTTACTGAATCTGGAGAAGGACCCTGCTTGCTTTTGTCTTTGGGAAGGTCAACCAATTGATGCCAGCCAGAAGAAATGGAGTGCTAGAGCATCACACATTAGTTTGTCATTAGAAAAGTGCACTAAGTCAGCTGGCTTTCAGAGTTCTATTGATTGGAATTCAGGCATGTGGAGATGTGTTGAGCTGAAAGATGCTTGTGTTGAAGTAGCTATGGTAACTGCTGATGGGAGCCCATTAACAAATGTTCCTCCTCCCGGTGGTATTGTCAGGGTGGGGGTAGCTTGTCAAAACTATCTCTCCAACACATCTGTTGAACAGTTATTTTTTGTTTTGGATCTTTATTCGTACTTTGGCAGAGTTAGTGAAAAGATTGTTCTTGTTGGAAAAAATACTGGAAAAAAGAAGAAGAGGGATCATTCTGTTGAATTAAAGCTGATTGACAAGGTTCCCAATGATACAGCGGTAAGCTTGGCAGTCAAAAATCTCCAGATTAAATTTCTGGAGTCATCTTCCGTGAATATTGAAGGAATGCCTCTGGTTCAGTTTATTGGTGATGATCTCTTCATAAAAGTTACTCACAGAACTCTTGGTGGTGCAATTGCTGTTTCATCCACTATTCATTGGGATAGTGTTGAGGTGGACTGTGTAGACACTGAGGGAAACTTGGGACATGAGAACGGCTCAGGTTTAACTTACATTGAAAATGGTCTTTCAACGAGTGGAAATGGGTACCCTCAGCTAAGACCTGTATTTTGGATACATAACCAAACAAAACATCAATCAAATGGCAAAGCTTTTGTGGATCCATTTCTGGACATAAGTATGGTACACGTAATTCCTTTAAATGAACGTGATGCAGAGTGTCATAGTCTGAATGTGTGTGCGTGTATCTCTGGCATACGCCTAGGTGGGGGAATGAACTATGCTGAATCCTTGCTGCATCGCTTTGGAGTACTTGGCCCTGATGGTGGTCCTGGAAAGGGGCTCTCTAAGGAGTTAGAAAAATTGCAAGCTGGACCACTGTCGAAACTTTTCAAACCGTCGCATCTCATTATTGATCTGAAAGAGGGTATGGGACAATATGATTTTGGTAATTTTGTTTAGTTATATACACGCAAAGTCTGTTTATCCTGTTCTTTTTTCCCTTGTCATTTGCTATCAGTACTGATTTTATTCACTGTTATACAAATCGCTCTAATATTCCATCTTTTTCCAGATGGAAGTTCACGAGACGGGAAAGAAAGTGGGGTCTTGCACTTGGGAAAGCCAGATGATGTCGACGTGTCCATAGAGTTCAAAAATTGGTTATTTGCTCTTGAAGGTGAACGGGAGATTGCAGAAAGATGGTGGTTTGATAATCATGAGGATGTGCAAAGAGAAGAGAGGTGTTGGCACACAACGTTCCATAGTCTGCATGTAAAAGCAAAAAGTAGTCCAAAGCATAGGCTGAGTGGCAATGGAAAGTCATACAGGACCCAAAAATATCCTGTGGAATTGGTTACAGTAAGGATTTCTCTCTCTTTCCATTGCGGCTCTCCCTTTTTAAGGTTTTAATGTGCTACTTGAGCCTGCTAAAGGCATGTTGGATGAAGCATACATGCATATTGATTATTAAAGGTGACATTTTTTGAAAAGGGTCAGCTTTACATGAATAAGCCAGCATCATTGAAGCATTTTGTCATTTTATTTTTTGGTCTTTTCTTGGGGGAAACAAGTAAATTATGGTCTTCCTAGGTGATATCTTAGGTATTTTAAAATTTGTAAGTTGCATGTATTGCTGAGATGATGTCCCTGTTATGGTGTTGGTTCACTCTATTATACTTGATCTCTATGGTCATAACAACAGTAACACTCATGAGACAGTCACAGAACACACCCGATGCACTCTTCCACTTCATCCATCCAGCTTGTATTTTATGGTTGAGATCTCCATCCTATCTTGCAAATGAACGGAGATTTGAATGAAGATTTCAACCATAGAATACAAGCTGGATGGATTAAGTGGAAAAGTGCACTGTGTGTTTTGTGCGATCGTTGTATGCCACTAAAGCTTAAGAGAAAATTTTATAGGACGTCAATAAGGCTAGCAATGCTTTATGGCACAAAATGTTAGGTGGTCAAGCATCAACACGTGCAAAAAATGAGTGCAGTGGAGATGAGAATGCTTTGTTGGATGTGTGAGCACACGAGAAAAGACGGAGTTAAGAACAAGGATATCCGAGGTAGAGTAGGAGTGGCTGCAATTGAAGATAAGTTGAGAGAAAATCGGTTAAGGTGGTTTGGACATGTGAAATGAAGACTTATAGATGTTCTGGTTAGAAATTGAAATTATGAGATTGAGGCTCAGGCCAAAAGGGGCAGAGGAAGACCTAGGGAAGAGACTTTAAAAAAAGACATGGATACTTAGAGATAACGAAAGACTTGGTGCAAATCGAGCGAAGTGGCATTCTAGGATTCATACAGGCGACACCACTTAGTGGGATAAGGCTTTGTTGTTGTTGTTGTTGTTGTTGTTGTTGTTGTTGCTGTGGTTAAGTAGTAGTGAAGTATGATTATTCTGGGGTTTACCATAAGTGGGTCCTTGTAGTAGGGTGAGAAGTTGTCTTGCTCATGCACTCAGAACTAGTTGTCTTGCTCATGCACTCAGAACTATCTCACGGTTGGGATTCAAATTGCAGATATCTAATAGTAATAGAGACCTAACAATTGGCAAGGCTTTATGTTAAGTACAACCGAGTCAATGTCTAGCAAGGATTAGTTTGAAATTTAGGCAAAATGAGCAAAGTACATTCATGCAAGGATTTTGTTCTTTTGTTTGTTTTCCCCCTTTTTTTTTTCAAATTTTAAATTTTCAAAATTCTAGTGAGCTTATGATACTAAGCATATACTTTGGTAGAACTTGGTTGGTTGTGCCTGTGCTGCATTCAAGATCAAATGTTCTGACACAATAGATATAGTTTGCTTCTATTAGAATATTATCGAATGCAAATATGTGCAACTGTGTGATTCATTTCAATTTCGTCATTTATGCACCTTCATTTTAATCACAGATATCGAATTCATCATCTCATGCATTTAAATATGGTTCCAGGTTGGTGTGCAAGGCTTGCAGATGCTAAAGCCCCATGCCCAGAAGTCTAACAATGCTGCTATCTTACCTGCGAATGGGATCAAGGAAACTACACAGACATCTGGAGGTATAGATCTTGAAATTCGCATGGTGATACCAGAGGACCCAGTCGATCATGAAATGGTGGTATGGGCTGTGGAAAATGTGAAATTCTCTGTTAAGCAACCGGTAATGCATTTTTTCAAGTTAACAACTGTATTTTATCTTCTAAAAACTGTTCTGCATTATGACACTTTTGTCTCCATAGATTGAGGCAGTTGTAACGAAGGATGAGTTGCAACATCTTACTTTTCTGTGCAAGTCGGAAGTTGAATCAATGGGTCGAGTCACTGCTGGAATTCTGAGGCTACTCAAGCTGGAGGGTTCCATTGGCGAGGCTGCAATGGAACAACTGAGCAACCTCAGTACGTTACTAAACATTTTGTCAGCCTATGAATGCATCTCTCCATTAATTCTGATCAGAGTTGAGCTGTTATTTTCTTCCAAGTCCTTACAATGCTAAAAAAGTTAATCAATTGACACCGATGTTTTACTCAATTCATTTGTACGTTTTTAAAAAGAATTTAGCCAACAAGATTTATCTGGTATATGTTATTGGGATACCACTGGAAGATTATCTATTTATTATTTTTGGGCCTTATGTAGTTTGGATCTGAATATGACTTTCAGGAACAGAGGGCATTGACAAGATATTCTCCCCTGGAAGGCTCACCAGGGGTGGCAGCTTTTCCAGTACTGGGCTCTCTCAATCAAACTTGGTTAATGAAACCCCAAGTACAACCCCCACCTTGGAATCGACAGTGGCTTCACTCGAGGTGGCATTTACAGAATCCCAGGCCAAGTGCACTGCTCTTCTTGCCGACCTAGATAGTTCAGAACAAGCCGCACAGCATCTTGCAACTGTTAAACAACTCAATGAGAAACTTCAGAGTATGCAGAGTTTATTGACGCAATTACGGTCACAGATATGGTAGGTCATTGTTTGCTATTCTTTTGCCCCCTCCCCTGTAATACCTTGGGATGAAAATGATCCCAATCTGTCTAGTTTACCCATTCTTTGTCTGTATATAAAGGGGAAACAGTTGCTGCAGAGATTATGCATGTATTCTAAGTCTGGTATAGCAGTTTTGTATCTAAGGTCCTACATATGTATCGATTTAAATTTCTAAAGGAATATACCCGTATTGTTAGCTATCGTAGTTGGCAAACCGATGATATTGGTACTCGATTTCATGTTCTACAAGCGTACATCAGATTAACAAGCGGTTGATAAAATAACTGGGACAACTAAGGGTGATTCCCTTGTCTATAAGCTTCTTACAAGCCTAAGTAGGGGTGACAATTTTTAATGCGACTCAAAATCCAGCGTGAAATTGTGGTGGATTTAAGTTAAGGAAAACTAATGAAAGGGGCTTGAAAACTTTGAGTTTTAACGATATGGACAAAATAAATGGTAAAATGAACAGTATCAAGTTTGACTTTGTAGTGTAAAAATATAATTTTTTGTTAAAGTGAATAATACCATAGACTTTTCGTTAAAACTTTCAAGTTAATTTGGTCCGATATGTGTTTTTCCATTGATAAAAGCCATATTGTTTGGCAATGACTCGAACTTGTCTTCAGCATTAAATATTCTTAGCCACTCGAGTTACAAACACCTTGTAAACATTTGTCTTACCTCGCATAAGTTACACAACAACTATGCTAGAGTAAAGGTTCGTCAAAGTATGCTTGTTCGTGCTCTAAATTTCGGTCACATATTACATATCACTAGCGTTGCTCTATCATGAATGCCACCAAATGCATTACCACAATCAACCAAAGCTAATCCCAATCGAACTGCGATAAGCATTTTTCTGGAGTAGTGGCAACAAACCAACTTGGATGAGCTTTAACAACTTTCCATAGCATCCCAACGCCAAATAGTTCCGTCCTCACAGCAGCTTAGAATGGTGCTGCAATATAGAATAATGCAACGAGGAAACACTTTCTCATTATCGCGGGATATGGCAATTACAAGATCATATAAAGAATAATGTCAAATAAAAGATAGTACAAAGTTAAAACAATGAGAAATAAACTATGCATGAATTACCTTCCATCAAAAGACGTAGCAGTTTGCCTAATCGGAGATTTTGATTGAGGATGTAACAACCTGAAAATACGGTGCAGGGTTATCATTAGTGGTTTACATTTCAAAGTTACAACTTTCTTCAGCATGTAGTTTTGGTAAACAGAAACCCGAACTAACTTTGCAATAAGAACAGGAGGGCTGGATTGTAGTTCCCAAATGAAAATCTTTCCCTCTCTATTCCCTGCAAGACAGAAAACAATTGAGCGCTAAGACGTCTGACATGTAGTTGTGCAACAGTTGGAACATCTAAAGTTACATGGTCCCTTAGATTTTGAAAGAATGAAGAATTATATCAACCGGTGCAATTACAACTGTTTAAGAAATTCCTTGTGCAGTTTGCAGTACCTATAGCAGCTGCATTGTAGTGGAAATCACAGGAAAACTTGATGAACCAAATATCACACTCTGGAACCGGATATTTTTGAAGGATGTCAACAGTACCCTAACCAGAAAGCAGCCAAATAACATTTTAGGCCACCATAAAGTAAATAACTGGAATTCTACAGAGTCAACTAAAATCAGCAATAATTCATGGAACAGACAAAAAAGACTAAGAAAAGTGGGGATTTCTTGGTAACTTTTTTGTTTTTAATTAGAAAAATAAAGGAAAGTGAGTAGCCAGATGATAGAGTTGAAGAAAAGACTATTTCGTTTTAGAATGCTTTAGTGTTTAGTGTGTGTTTTATATATTCCACCTCATTTCTTCCTCACCTTTCTGACCTCCTCTCTGTCTTCTATACATTTCCTCTATTTCTTTAATTAAAAGGAAAACACAGAAAACAAAAATGTTACCAATTGGCCCTTAACATTTAAAAACAAGAGGAGCAAGAAGTTCTAACCTCCCCAGGAGACTGTTCCTTCATTTTCGGTTCCCACAGCACAATTTCATTGTCAACACTCTGGAAATATTAATGTAATCATTAGAGAATCTAAGGAATTCAGCTACAACAGGCATCTAAAAGCAATTCAAGCTACTCATATTTGAAATTTATTTGTTAATATTAATATATAGACACAATTTATCACTCCATGCATGTTATTCTAAACAGCTATTAAACTAAATCTTGCTTTTAGGTGATCCAATAAGCTATGCAGAGGTTGATGCCACAAACAGATAAATCAACTTTTCCAGAATTGATGTGTTTCTCATTAACTCATTCGAACCAGGTGATTGTGCTGATTTAAGTTTTTGCCAATTAGTAAACGAAACAAACGATTTGACATATAAAGATTTTGCATCCTATACAATGTTTACATTTTCCATTTCCAAATAACCTTCAGATTTTATACGGAAAAGAATGAAAATAGGGATGAAATTGTGATTCACCTTTGAGAGGAGAAAATCACCAAGCCACCTATTACAGTCAACATAGTTTGTATGAATGGAAGCTATGAATACCTGAAAGGTTAAAGTAATCTCAGATAACAGGAGAATGAAAATGCTAATCTGTAACACAAAGAACAGGTACTTACAGGAAATTGCACATATTTTGTAGGAAATTTTGACGGAAGATCTGTCCATGTGAAAGATTTCTCTACATATGTCCAGAACTCTAAAACAAAGCAATGTATAAGAAAATAAATTAGAAATAACACTTGTTTTCATAAGAAATTAGAACTAACCATTGTGATCCATGCCATATAGTTACATAACTATGGTTTACCAAATCAAATTATGTAAATTGTCATATGGAGCAAAACCATGAAGTCCTACCTTTCATTGACCAGATCTTAACAGTGTTGTCCATGCCACAACTCGCAATACGATATATGTCAGAAGGATGAAAGTCCTATCAAAACCATGAAGAACAAGGTAAACATGATTAGCTCTCAGTCGTTTTCATTTATCAAAACTTCACAACAAAAAGAAAAAAGAAAACAATAAATTTATATTTTAAAAGATTTCATGGAAAGGTGGCGGGATATAACTCCCCATCTGATATGCTTACCACACTTAGGACTTCATTGCGGTGACCCCCTGCTCCAGCAAATATCAAAATGCATATTCCAGTCTGAACATTCCATAGCCGAACTGACTCATCCTGGAAATTTCTAAGATTACTAATAAAATAAACAACAAACAACATCTTAAAAGAAGAGAAAAGGAAAAGGTTATCATGTTCACTTTGCTTGCTGACACCACAAGTGATGACTTCAACGGTTGCGTCCTGATCTCATTTATTGAGTCCCCATGGCCAACAAAACTCTGCACATAGATGAGTACTTTAGGGAGAAAAAAGATGCAAAGAAAGAAAATCCTCTATTTTCATGGCCACTCAAGCACTTTTAAAATTTCAAAGATTTCAGATGTACACTTTCATCCTAATTGTATGCTAAGTATAGTTAAAAGCACCATTATAATGTACAGGAGTACTAAGATACCTTGTCTATCTTCTCACTGCCACAATCGATGACACGCATTATACCATTAATTCCTCCAGCCACAAGCAATGGGGATCCATCACTATTGCATGCCCAGCTCACAGTGTAAAAAGACTCATCCTTCTGATCTATACAAAGCACATGAAAATCACATATCCGCAAAAAGTTCTAAACATTAACAAATGGATGCTTAACTGTTTGATAAATGACCGAGAAAAGAACACTAATCCATTTGATCAATGATGGAATGATGGCTGTCTTTACTTACATCTTCATCAATGTAGGACTGCAACACAGCGATCACACCCCCTTCTAGGCATTGGTATACAGTCACCTGAAACAAAAAGAACAATATAACAATCACAAAACTTCAAAACAAATAGTGGAAAGAGAACCTTGCATTTTGTCTCTCTCGGATAAATTTTTTTACGCAAATGAACACTTCGGGGAACAAATTCACGTTGTTTATTTGAAAACGGAGTAATGAACCACACACTACCAGCTCAGAACAACCATAATTCACCACTACCAAGCCGCATTGTAATCCAATGCTGTTAATGTTAAAGATGATGCCTTGTTTTGTTTTACTCGGATTCCCAGAACACTAACTTAACGATCATGTACAAATAAATTACTAATCCATTCAATCTAACAAAACCCAGTAAACCAAATTACAAGAAACTCAAAAATTTACTAAATTTTCAGCCATAAAAGTATAAAACCCAAGTTTGGTTGCAGAGAAAACGCAGGAAAATCCAACTAACAATCCCGGAATTAGAACGGAAGAGTAACGAACCCGATTGCCACCGACTGTGGCGAAGACGTTGAAGTAGCGAGAGTCGATGAAGTTGAAAACGATGGCGTATAGGGGCCGCTTGCCCTCTTGGAGCCTGTTGGTGACTCTGTACTCTTTCTTCTTTGAGGGTGCGAGCGAACCCACCACCGGTTCCGACCCTAAAGCGAACTTTGCCGCCATGTCTGCGGCGCAGGATACCGAGAGACCTAACCTCTTCCCAAACAACGGAATTTCTGTTTCAACAAGATCAGAAAGTTCATAATTATTCCAGAAAGTATAATTATAGGATGACTATGTCGTAGACGAGGGAAAAAATCAAATTTGACATAAAAAAGTGATTTAACGGTAATTAGATTATCCCTCATTGATTAGAGCGAGAGTAACATATGAGCGTAATAACCTCTGGGAAAGTCCTGGAATATATACAAGACAGTAGATCAGTTTGAATATTCGAATATTAGTACGGCATGCACAATCAAAAAGAAAAGTTTGCCTCGTCATTGAGAACGCATCAATCAAAACTATAGAGAAACATATAAAAATTATTGCATTTGTGCATAGAGGAAGATGATGAACGATAATGTGAATATAACTGGAAACTACCCTCCATTCCCAAATGTCATAAACAAATTCCATAGATCAACTGTGTATGCTAAATGCCCTTCATAATTGACTTGGTGCTCTGCACCAAATATCTTTTCCGACGTCCAATTGTGAACAATTTTAAAGATCTAAACAGTGGGTTATGATAGAATGTAATGTTTAAATTAGCATATAACATATGAAAGAGTTTACACATATTTTAAGTATTCCATACTATTGTGGTTTTTTTAGGTTAAAGAAAATAATACTTTTGTAAGACCAATTCACTGTGCGTTCGAAA